CGAAGCAAAACAAGAAATAAAAACGAAAAACCTGAAAAATACAAAAAACGGCAGTCTAAACCTACCTCGGGTAGGTTTATTAAAAATGTCGGGAAGGCAATTTTGCTTTAGACGTCCCCCAAAATAGGAAATCAAAACAAAAATTTGATTGCAATTCGCAAACATCACATTAATGAAAATGCATTCAATCCGCCCATATGATTATCACAATCAATTAATAACAAATCTCAATAAATTATTGAAAAATTGTCTTATAAGCAAAATTTTAAATTTTATTAATACACAAATAATTTGTATATAATTGACATATTATATTTTATCTTATCTTTTGTTTTTCTATTTGCTTCGTGAAATCAAGTGTTTATACGCCCAATTGTCAAATAGAAATTGTTTAAAATTTATAGTATAAAAAACTTATGTTGCTAATTCTAACGCCGTGATCAGAAGCGCAGGTGCACCACATTAAAATTTAACCGGTGGTCCGGATTTGCAAAACATAAGGATATTCTAAAATCCTAATATGAAAAAATATACAATTTATAAATAAATGAACTCCCAAAAATAGGCAAATTGAAGTGTATTTACCATATTTTGCTTGTGTTTCTCTCTTAGTTTTTCTATTTGACGCATGCTGTTCTTTCAATTCACTTTCCATTGCAGTTGCATGAAAAGCTAAATACATTAGGTTATGTTTTCTCTTCTGACCTCTAGTAGGTTTTAAACGCTAAAATCATAAAATGTCAATTTATATTCTCATTATTTATAACTACAAAGTAATGTAATTTACCGCAGATCCTTCGCTTGATCCTCTGGTCGGTTTTGACAAATTGGCAACTTGAGATTGCCATGAATCAGCCATTTGATCGGCTGCGTTAATTTCTTTAATTTTAATTGGCCCCTCTTTCTTTCCTCTTCGACCTCCCAATTTCTGAAACTGAAGAAAACATTTTGCTATTAAATTGTGAAATATGAAAACAAAATACGATTGGGGTAATTACCATTTCGTCATCTAGTTCCCAATTCAATTGTGCCTGCTCACTTTCTATTTCATGTTGTGGTTCATCATACATTCCTTGATATTCTACGTAAGCATTTGCATTTCCTTGCCATTGGCCATCATTATAATATTCGTTATATGTATATCCATCTGTGGGAAAAGAAGTGTCAGTTGCACCTGCAATCGCATAAGGTTCAATATTGTCTCTAGTGGTAACAGAAGCTGTTGACGCATCCTTGGTCTCATTAATTGATTTTATATTCGTTATTTCAGGCCCTAAAAGGATGTATGTGATCAAATCAGCAGCGTGAATAATCGACAAGGAATAGAAAAAAGTATTTATTATTTACCTAACGGAAAAAATGCTTCCGTAATTGTGTTTACGTCTTCAGTATCATCCTCATTTTTTGTATCAGATTTTGCTTGCATGACGGGTTTCTTTCTTGTGATCGCATGAGGCATAAAATTTGTTGTTTTTAATGCAGCTTGAGTTGTCGATCCATTGTTGTTTGGCTTCCGCTCATTTGTTATAGTTCTTTTGGGTGCCGGTAAAAGTGCAAATAAACTATTTGGGGTGCTTGTTTTCTGTTTCTTTGATAAATTTTCTTCCTCAAGATCTACTTGACTGATTTGCGGTAAATCAACTACAATTTTTACGGGACCGTCCTTCTTGCTTTTAGATAGGGCTTTTGGCGGTGGGAGTAAGGAAGATATTGAAGTTTTTTCTGGAGTTTCTGTCTTTATTTCAGTTGATGTGATTTCTTCGTCGCTACTCGAAACGTCCGAGCTGTAATCAGCAACAAGAGACATAATAATGACTGATATAAATAAATATTAGTCGTTTGTTTCGTTTTTTCAATGAAAAATGAGCTTACATAATCTATTGTTGTACAACATAGCATATAAATATTGCATTGGTAATTTCCACCAATAACTATTTTTCTCAAAACAGGCCAAAAATGTCTTATTCGGACGATCGTAAAGAAGATAGTAAAAGATGGAGCGGCAATGGTAGTAGTGGTAGTAGTGCTGACAAATTTTCCGCAAGACTTTATGTAGGTCAGTTGAACTGAAGTATAAAAAATCGAGGCTTTATATGTATCTAAATCATAAGGCATATGCAGAGGTTAAGCCCAAGTATTTTATAACGTCTCAAAATAAATATTTGTAGGACGTCTTTCTAGATCCGTTACGGAACGTGACATCGACGAGGCTTTTGGAAAGTATGGAAGAATTCGCGAAGTTGATGTAAGCCTATTCAATTTTGCATTATTTTACTACAACCCTTGTTCAGATTATATGATTAATATACCATTCATTTTTTTATTAATTTTCTCTTACTTTCAGATGAAGGTGAATTTATTTTCGATAAAAAATATTATGTTATATCTGTTTTCAATATTATTTTTAACAATAGAAAAAACTTTTTAGATTGGCTTTTGCTTTGTACAGTTCGACGATCCGAGAGACGCAGATGATGCGATGAGGTGAGGAGCTCTAAAAGGAGAACGATGATGCAGCAGTCGGCAGAGAGAGGCGTAACACGGGGCTGCGACATGTTGTTTTCTGTTTTGGTGCAGTTCGAGAAAAAAAGACGGTATCGCAGGAAAAAAATAATATAATAATATAATAATAATAAAAGCAAAAAAAAAAAAAAAAATCATGTATATATATATCTGTCTGTATGGTGCGAGGCAAGAGGAGTCGATGGTGTCAACGGTGTATCGCCGACGCAGCAGACTCAAGTTTTAACACAGTATCAATTCAGGGCGTTGGACGGTGGTCGCATTCAAGGAAATGATGATAGAATATTAGTGGAATTTGCAAGAGGTGAGATGATTTAATTAATAAACTTTATTTTATTTTATATTATGGTTAAATACTATTATTTTTTAAAATAGGTAGTACTTGGCGTGGAGCTCGTGAAAGTCGTCATGGAAGTGGTCGTAGTTATGATGGGCGACCACCAGAAAGATGTTTTAATTGTGGGCAAATCGGTGCGTATTGGCAATTAATTTTCTTACGTGTATGGTTTGGAACTATACTTTTTTGTTTTTACCCGATTCCAAATTCCGTTGCGTTTATTGATTTCCAATTTTAATTATTTTTTGCATTTAAAGGTCATTGGTGAGATAAATATTCCAGGCTTTGATAATTATATCAATTTGTTATTTCGGTATCTATTTATTTGCCTTTTTTTATAGGGCTAGAGATTGGTACGTAAGCGATGCATTGTTATTTTTATGAATTCTGAATTTTATTTAATGTTTCAATTTTGATATTAGTCCAGAACCGCCGGGAAGGTAAGAACAGATGTACTCGAACGCTAATAATTGTTCTCTTTTACTTACGTATTTCATTCATGGTCTGGCTTTTAAACAAAGTGGCGAACGCTCCCGCAGGTATTGCTCAGAAGAAATGAATTTCTTAATTTGTTCATAAATCATTGATTAATTGCTTTGAAACCATGCATTTCTCGTTAGATATGAAGAAAATCGATGTTTGTGAGTTGTATATCGTTAAAGGTGTTATATGTTACAATTACCAACGCCCTCAGCACTGATTTGAACATATAATTAACAGTACCTGCGGGCAACCGGGACATCGTGCCAGAAATTGTACTAGGTGCGGTTATATTTCTTAGCTCAAAATTGAATTTGATTTATTATTAACGTCAAATGCTGTACTTTTTATGAAAGATACGGGTCTAGTGGCTACCGTGGAAGATCCTACTCACCATATCGTCGTTCTCGTTCCCGTTCTTCCCGCCGTTCCCGTTCTCCCCGTCGTTCCCGTTCCCCCCGCCGTTCCCGTTCCCCCCGCCGTTCCCGTTCTCCCCGCCGTTCCCGTTCTCCCCGCCGTTCTCGTTCACGCTCACCATATCGTTCTTCTGACCGCAAGGATCGAGATAGGGATCGAGATAACAGAAAGGACAAAGAACGTGAATAGTGACTAAAATTTATAAGCTTATCGAGTCGATAATTTTGATACGGCTGAGGCTATTGTCTCAAAACAAACTAAATCTGCCAATAATATTCAAATTTTGAACTATAAACTATAATCCAGAACTTCCACTAAACAAGTTCGTATTTTATTTTAGTTTTATTTTACATAAATAAAAAAAAAATAAAATCTAGTCATATAATGATTTCTAAATATAAAGCAAATAAACGATTAAATGTTGCGTTAATGTTTTTGAGTAAAGATGGTCTAGAATGCGGTGCTCGATCAGTAACGACAATTTATTACGTACCCTAGCCATGACGACAAAAATTGTCGCTAAATGCAGTCAGGGATTTTACCCGATATAGAAATTAATCTGTAAAGGTTATTCTAAAACCAATTTCTATTTTATAATTTGATTGGATGATCGACACGAAATGTTACACAATATGTTCTACATATTGGCATAACGATTCGCTGTTACAAAAATGGTTTGGCAGCCACGGATACGAATTTGCCAAACTTGTTTTATAAACTGTCAAAGTAATTCTTAGATGAGAGATATATTTGAACGTTAACTTATAGGTACAGTAAATCAATTAAACTCGACAATTTAAGCTGTCTTCTACGTATTTTGTGAAAATTTATTCATAATCCCAACTAATATAGAAACCTGATTATAATGTAGGTTAAAGCGAAGTAGTGGTACTGTAATTGTATTACAAAATTAAAGATCAGTTTAATATTGAAGCGAGCATTAAATTAAATGTTGTTTTTGATTATTTTTTATTATTCATTAGTGTTCTAGAATAGGTTTAACCATTTATTTTATGTATTTTTCATTTTTGGTTTGTTTTTTTTCTTTTTTTGATTGAGTGCGCAAGAGGCAAGTAAAATTTTATTTATTAATCACTATGCCGATCTTAATGATTTGGTATTGGGGCATGACCAATCATAATGTAAACAAAAAACATTTATGATATAAACTATATAATAAATAATTAGGGCTGTGCAGTAAATCACGTAATTTTTGCTTACTATAAGGTCTACTCCCCTTCCCCCCTGTGATAGATATTAACCAATCAAAAATTATTTTTTTTAGAACGTGATGGATTAGCTACCCCCCCTCCCAGGGACCAGAGAAAATATTGATTTATTTAGATCAATATAAATCGATATTTTTGGGTCAAATTGTGGGTAAATCGATATTTTTACGAATCTTTCTGTAGTGTAACATTACACAATACTGGTGGCCAGAATTATGAATAGT